AGGCGTTGGTGGAAACAGCAGGGGGGGATCCATCAGTGCGCGCGCAATGGCGGATGTGCGGTCGGCAGCTGCGCGTTGGAGCGACGCCGTCCTGTTTGCAGCGCCCCCGCTTGTTCGAAAGCGTGGGTGCATGGCGGAGCGGAGGCCGGGGGCCGCACCTTGCCCTTGGCGCCCTTCCTGACGGCGTCACGGTCCACCGCCTCCAGCATGCCCTTGGGGTGGGGACGCGCGCATAGTGTCTCGTGTGTGTGTGTGTGTGTGTGTGTGTGTGTGTGTGTGTGTGAGTGTGTGTCTCGCACGCACGCCCAATGCAAAAATTCAAGGCACCCACCAACAGACATGCACCTTGAAGCCTTGGACCCACCCCACTTCCACATGCATGCGCCCTCAGGTGACCCCCCCCCTCGCGCCCCCCCCCCCCAAGCGGTGGTCACCTCGTTGACGACCTCGTCCACCACCACACTGATGCGCGCATACTTCTCAAAGAACACGCCCTCAGTAGGGGGCTTGCCCACCACCTCGGCGATGGACAACATCACCACGCGCAGCACGCCAGACACTGGGGGCCGGGGCCGGCGCGGGGGCGAGGCAGGGGGTTGTGGTGGGGTGAGAGCGGCGTGTTTTAGTGCAATGTGCGGATAGATGGATCCAGGGCTTGTCGGAATCAAAGCGTACGCGCTGGCGGCGGCACAGCTGCAGGAGGGAAAGGATGGGTGAGGCGGCTCCAGGCGGCGGGCAGCGGCGCGGCGCCGCGCCGGCCCCGGTTTTCGTCCGCTCACGCGCCATCTCGTCGTACTCGCCGCAGCCCAGCGCGTAGAACACCAGGTCTGTGGTTGGCAGCAGCACAAACGGCGCACCCCTGCCGGGCCCAGAAGCGCGTGGCGGAACGGACTGAGAGCTGTTGTCTCCTGTCGTGACCTGTTCTCGCCGCTGGTGCGCTGTGAGCGGGCACGAGCGGCGTCCAACGCTGCCAGGGGCCTGTTGTGCCGGCCCAAGGAGACACAATCACACACACTCACACGCACACACACACACACACACATCCTCTGTCGCGCTCTCTGTCTGTCTGTCTGTCTGTCTGTCTGTCTGTCTGTCTGTCTGTCTGCGCCCCTCCCGCTTGCACTCTTATCCAGGCACATACACGTGCATCTTCGCGCGCGGCTGCAAGCGCAGGCAGGGCCGTGCCGCGTGCGCGCCTGAAGGACCCCACAAACTCGTGGTTGTCGTGCGCCAGGTTGACGTGGTCGGTGGCCGCCTGGAACGCCTCCCGGATCTCAGCCTTCTCCAGTTCAGTGTACCTGGCCGCCGCAGCATTTGTGTTTAGAAAAAAAGCTGCCGCCTGCAACGAGGCACGGGCTGCGCGCCGTGCAGGGCGCGGCACCGCCGCTGCGGCGG